GAGAAGCGTCCGGAGCAGCCAGTCGATCGATAATCCAGGATTCTAGTTAATTGAACTTTTTCATCGCCATGAATGTTTTAGCGGCTGTATCACGGAATTCCGCGGGCCCATTTAAATTTCGCGCTGTTAACGCTATTCCCGTGTTCTCGTTAAAAATTCACCAATTTTCATGCGACACGAACTCGACCCACCTGCGTGATTTACCTCAAAACGTCGATCCCGTTGGCAAAGGATGCTATCATTTAGACACGACTTACCCTAATCTCGGCGTTGTTCTGGCCTAGAGGATGGCGGCGTCTATTTGCACACCGGTTTTGACAGAAGTTACGTCAGCTACCCTGAAACTGCACGATCTCAGACTTCCTTCCTTCGAACTAGCTTTATCCGTTGTTGCGTGTAAGGTAGCAAACGTAAATGCCGCACTTGAAGTTCAAACTAACTGTGATAAATTGAGGGAAATACAGCTAACCAGCCGGGATCAAGGGTAGCTAGGGGGCTGGGTAATAGTACGGTATCTCAACTTGTGAGCAACAAAGGGCTCGAAGTATAGCTTTTTGCCAGATAGTGCCACTGAATATGTGGAGGTTTATGAAACGTGCTTATTTGCAACGTATCTCGTGGTTACACTTGATGAGGTAATGACGGGAAGGTTTATCTGTGTAGGGTTCTAGTCGGCTAGCAAACTCGAAGGCTGATTAAAGTTTGGGAGCATTGGTAGTAATGATACAGGTGCAAGTTGGGAATTTTGTGATTCAATTGCTGGAGCTTGGTGATTGGAGAAAATTATTGAGGCTGTTTTTATTTCTCAGAAAGAGGTTGATTTAAGAAGATAGGGTAGAGGGTGGATACTGAGATGTTCTTGGCTAATGACAGTTTTGGTATTCCAGAGGTAACAAATAGAACTAAAGTCAACGAATTCCTCTGGTTGAGAAAATTCATAAATTTTCTTTCTTTATTTATGCAAATTTTTCTTTTTGCTCGTCATAATATTAATTGAAAATATCAACGCGATTCAATTACTGAAGTAAAAGCAACGAATACTTAAATTTTTATATATTTTTTGTATAGAGAGAGAGAATAATTATGTGGTTGCATATTTGTACTCTTTTAAAATTAAAAAATTGGTGATTTTGAAATGTGATAGTTTTGTGATTGTTTGAAGATAATTATATCTAGTTGTACCTTCGTTGTTGTTGTATGTTGGTACTTATCTATGAAAGAAATACAAAATTTATAATATTGTAGAATAATAATTCGTGAAGGTACTTTTATACAAAATTAGAATATATTATTATTAGATGTTTTAATTATAAAAATAAATAAGAAATTGTATCATTACTACTACCATGCTCTGGATTATTACTATAACAAATTAGAATTAGCTGCTATTAAACATTTCATTTACAAAATAAATAACAAATTCTACTATTATTGCCATACCTAACTACCAGATCTTCCGTAATTCAAGCCGACATCAGAACAAACAGATATCTTTCATCACTAAGTATTCCACTCACAAAAATGCAAGTTCAAAAACGTCACTGAGATCTACAAGTGCAGCACTACGTTTTACTCTGTATTAAAAAAAATCCAATCAGTATCTATAAAAGAAACCCTGTTATCCTTACACTACCAACAAGAATAGCACCCACACCAAGCCCCAAGTATACAAATTTCAAACAAAAGATCAATCTTCTTTCCACCTTTTATTCAAGTAACCAAAGACTAAACCTTCGCTTAAACCATCTTTCTTGACCATTTCTGAGTAAATCCCGAGCCTGTCACCTCCACACAGATCATCGTTATCTTCCCAAACCTAATTGCGTTTAATCCTTTCGCCTATAATATCGTGTGAGACTCGTAGTGGGGATATCGGGTCGAACATGAGTATCACGGCTGAGAGACGTGATTTGTAGATGGGGCTCAACGTAAACACCACGGGTCAAATTCATGGTTAGTTTTGGCTTATGTCTTTCTGCCTCGGTTACGTGTTATCCTTCGTCGCGTTCGGAAGCAATGGTTCGACGTGTGACCGATTCTGCTTTACGCTATCGCGACTTGAATCGTGCGACAAAGGATTACGCATATCTCGGAGTATAATGTCAAAGGTAGCAGTAACGCCAAGATTAGAAGACCATAGATCAAACCCCACGCACATATATCAATCCTCTCTTCCGTTTTTGGGTAAATCGCGAGCCGATTGCCTCCTCGTGCACAGATCACTGGTATCTTCCCAAACCTAATTGCGTTTAAGCATAAGCCGATGCATCTGCTCAAAATTAGCAATACGCGAAAGGTCAGAAGACTATAGATCAAACCCCACGCACATATACCAATCCTCTCTTCCGTTTATGGGTAAATCGCGAGCCTATTGATCTCACATACGCATCAAACCCACGTAGATCACCGATATTCTACCCAAATTGGGTAAATCGCGAGCCTATTGATCTCATATACGCATCAAACCCACGTAGATCACCGATATTCTACCCAAACATAATCCTGTTTAACCCTTTCGCTGCGAACAGCGCCTTTAGGCGTTCATCCAGAGTCACTCTCTCCGGGTGAATAGCGCTGCTAGGCACTGTGCATTTGTTATCAGTAACTGCCAAATAATGTCCACTAAATCGTTTGTTTTCGACGGGTTAGCAGCATATCCTTATAGGGCACAGATTTTTTCACATAATCGAATATAATTCTCTGCACGGTGGATCTGACACTGTCACGTAGGCTACCTAGAGAGCAATTCATTTCTGAGTGCTCCGCAGTGAAAGGGTTAAACATAATCCAGTACATAACCTCGAAGGTGGCAGTGCTGTTAATGATCAAACTCTCGCATGTACCAATCCTCTCTTCCGGTTTTGGACTAATCGCGAGCCTATTGATCTCACATACGCATCAAACCCACGTAGATCACCGATATTCTACCCAAACATAATCCTGTTTAACCCTTTCGCTGCGAACAGCGCCTTTAGGCGTTCATCCAGAGTCACTCTCTCCGGGTGAATAGCGCTGCTAGGCACTGTGCATTTGTTATCAGTAACTGCCAAATAATGTCCATTAAATCGTTTGTTTTCGACGGGATAGCAGCATATCCTTATGGGGCACAGATTTTTTCACATAATCGAATATAATTCTCTGCACGGTGGATCTGACACTGTCACGTAGGCTACCTAGAGAGCAATTCATTTCTGAGTGCTCCGCAGTGAAAGGGTTAAACATAATCCAGTACATAACCTCGAAGGTGGCAGTGCTGTTAATGATCAAACTCTCGCATATACCAATCCTCTCTTCCGGTTTTGGACTAATCGCGAGCCAATTGATTGCACATACGCATCGAACCTACGCAGATCACTGATATGTTCTCTAATATAATCGCGGTTAAGCATAATCCGATATATAATCTCGAAGGTAACAGTGCCGCTATAGATCGAATCCTCACATATACCAGTCTTCCGTTTCTGAATAAATCACGAGCCTGTTGATCCCACATACGCATCGAACATACGTAGATCAGTGGCATCTTGCCAAACATAATCGCGTTTAAGCATAATCCGGTAGATAATCTCGAAAGTAGCAGTACCGCTAAAGATCAATCCTCTCTTCCGCTTTTGGGCAAATTGCGAACCGATTGCCTCCGCATACACAGATCACCGGTATCTTCCTGAATCTAGCCGTGTTTAAGGATAAACCAAAGCATATACTCAAAATTAGCAATATCGTGAAAGGTCAGAAGACTATGGATCAAACCCCACGCACATATACCAATCCTCTCTTTCGTTTTTGGGTAAATCGCGAGTCTACTGTCCCATATGCATCAAATACACGTAGATCACCGATATCTTCTCAAACATAATCGCGTTTAAGCATAATTCGGTATGTAATCTCGAAGGTAGCAATGCTGTTACTGACCAGACACTCATATATACGAATCTTCTATTCCGTTTTTGGGTAAATCGCGAGCCTGTTGATCTCACATACGCATCAAATACACGTAGATCACCGATATCTTCACAAACATAATCGCGTTTAAGCACAATCCGGTATGTAATCTCGAATGTAGCTATGCAGTTAATGATCAAATACATATACCAATCCAGTCTCCCATTTTTGACTAACTCGTGAGCCTATTGCCTGCACATATGCATCAAATCCACATGGATCACTGATATCTACCCAAACCTAATCTCGAAGATGATAATGCTGTTAAAGATCAAATCCTCACATGTACCAATCCTCTCTTCCGTTTTTGGGTAAATCGCGAGCCTATTGATCTCACATACGCATCAAACACACGTAGATCACCGATATCTTCCCAAACATAATCGCGTTTAAGCATAATCCGGTATATAATCTCGAAGGTAGCAGTACTGTTAATGATCAAACACTCGCATATCCTCTCTTTCATTTTTGAGTGAATCGCGAGCCTATTGTCTCCACATACGTATCAAGCCCACGCAAATCGCTGAAATCCTTGCAATCCTAATCGCGTTTAAGCATAACCCGATATATAATCTCAAAGGTAGCAGTATCGCTGATAATTACGCTCTTATTTTTGGGTAAATTGCGAGCCTATTGCCTCCTCATATACATCGAACCCACGTAAATCACCGGTATCTTCCCAAACATAATCGCGTTTACCATAATCCGACATATACTCTCGAAGGTAGCAGTGCCACTTTAGATCAAACCCTGATATATACCAATCCACTCTTCCGTTTCTGAATAAATCGCGAACCTATTGATTCCACATACGCATCAAACCTACGTAGACCACTGGTATTCTTCCTAAACACAATCGCGTTTAAGCATAGTATATATAATTTCGAAGGTAGCAGTGCCACAAAGAAAACACCCTCACATAGACCAATCCTCTCTTCCGTTTTTGGGTAAATCGCGAGCCTATTGTCTCCACATACGCATCAAGCCCACGCAGATCGCCGGAATCTTTGCAAACCTCCTAGTCGCGTTTAAGCGTAACTCGGTGTATGATCTCGAAGGTAGCGGTATCACCTGGGGTCGAGGTAGCCGCGGCCGCGGCAGAGGTCGCGGGGGCGTCGCGAGCCTTCTTGGTTCAGGCGTCGCCCCCGCGAATTACGCTTCAGGACTGCAGGGCGTAGCGCCTGAGCTAAGGGAAGTGGTGAATATCCTTGGCGAGAGGAACCAAGTTGGCACACTCACGGGCGTGGGACCACCACCGGGGACCTTGGACAGCGACGGCCAGGGGGATGAAGAGGAGGGTACCTCGACGAGGAGACCACCGAGATCCCTCTACAGGAGGCTGATCAATTACGTTCGACAGGCATGGACCGGCGTGAAATTCGCTTTAGGTATTTGCTCATGTTTATCGTTTATACTGTTTTTACGTAGCACATGTTTTGCATGAGAAAACTTCCGTAGTGTACGAGTATGGGTGTATGTAGGGTTGGGGTTGGGCTGACTTGAAATTATGTTACGAAATTTAGGAACATTCTGTGCATTGGTAATGGTATGTGAATTACGATAAATGTTTCTTTTGTGGAATGGGGTATGAGTTTCTGAAATATATTGTTTAGAATAGTGTATTCTGATGGAATTATTGGGATATATATTTTGGGTAGGAATTTAAGACTGGAATCTTGATTATGGGGCCATAGAAAAGTTTCCAATTTTCTTTTTCTTGTTTTATTAATATTTAATTTTATTTGCATACTGAGTACTTTTTAATTAGTGTCATAAATAACTCATTATTTATTATTCACACTCCTAGATATTGTATGTGCATGTAAATAATAAATTGAAAATAGTCATAGTTATTATTAATTATTAGTTATATAGTATAATTATGTAATTATTAAAACAGACATAGTTATTCGTTATATATTACAATCACTGATAGTTTTGGGGCTTACTTTATTTGAAACAGATGTAGTAAACTAATATTAAATTAAAAAGAAATACAGGAAAATAGAATTTGTTCCATTATCAGTGAAAGATATAAACTACATATGTGTTTGACCAAATTTCACACAAACCAGAATTCATACACGAGCGTGTTAAAAGACACGTCAAATCTAAAAATACCAAAGTAACGAGGAAGAATAAAATAAAAGAAATCGAAATGCAAATGAATCTATTTTTCCTCAAAAAGTATAGAAAACTCACTAATAGAGACTAGTAAAGATTACACAAAGAATTACCCTTTCTCTAACTCCAGGAGTCTAGAAATGTGTTTAAATCGAAGAAAATGGCGTTGCATTTTTAGATTAAGCAGATTATATCGCGGAATGCAAATATGTTTCGCAAAGTTCGTTGCAACTTATCGCGTGCCGCGTTGTACGTTCGAATCCGTAACCACGTGAAGTGGCTGGAACACATTTTCTGGAAACGTGTGAGTCTCCTGAGCTTCTGTTGCGAGGTGCCTCCACGTTGCTTACGTGCTTTGCCCAGTCATCTATGTTGCATGATTCCACATGCTTCTTCGTGTGCACCTGCACGTTCGCCATTGTTCCATAGGTTATTGTGTTCGACTTACCTCCAATCGACCTTCTTCTTCCGATACCTCGCTCAACGACTATCATTGCTCCGTGGGACTCTCTATTGCACCCGGATCGCGTTTGAGTTAAGCTGATGAAAAATTTAGCTCGCCACCTATTGTTGGATACTCTCTTAAACATTAGAGAAACGATGTTGAAATTTAAACTAGTTAATTGAGAACGAATGCCGGTACAAATTCGTTTCTACAACTAAAATAAAGAAAATAAGGAAAGATCAGAGGGAGTTGAAATTAGATAATTTATTAGGAAATTTTATATTCGAATGTCTTTGGTGTTGCATAATGAAGTGTATCAACAGGAATAACAATTAATTTTTTGAATATTTCACGTGTCTTTGGGTATTTCACTATGAAATGTATAAAAAGTAATTTGTTTTATTATAATAATTGTATAATTTCTGTAATTTATTAGGATTTTAGAACTTTTATATTATATAAGTAAAAGGAAGATGTTAAGCCTTGGAATGTCGTGCCGGTATTTCATTCGGCCCTTTGTTTAGAATGGACCCAGAAGACCGTTAGGGTCTTCTGGCAGCCAGATTCTAATTGCTGTTTTAGTTCAAGTTCCGTGTCCTTTCTATCTTTATTTTCAATGCATTTTCAAACAATTCTTTATTTCCCTCGGGTCACCGGACACGAGGCTTTCTTTAGCCATTAATGTTAGAAAGCAGGCAACAGCACTTAGGATTTGGCTGACAATAGGCCTGCAAAGAAAGGGACCAGGCCATGTGCGATGTCGCGACTTTCGGAGCCATAAAGTAACGGGTCCTTCAGGAAGGATCACGAATGTGCGGGTGGCCCACCAGCAACCCCCTTTGAGGGAGAGGCTTCCTCCACCGGAAAACCATGGGCCCCGAAAGATCGTGCATCGCACAAGTTAGTTAGGTCAGTACCAGTCAGTCAGTAAATAACATTCGAAGAGTTCAGAAGAGTTATCCGAAAGTACTACATAAAATACAGTCTACTATAAACACAACGTTCCTCAAGAAATTTGGTTCCTCATTAACCGTCGCCAATTGCGGACGACCTATTGACGATATACAGAAGAGATGAACTGATTTTTAATTTAATTTTAATTTTTAAATTGTTTAGAAAATTATTTTAAACTTAATACAGGGTGTGCCAAAAAATGTAAACACACTTTGCGTGATTATAAAAACAGTATATATTTTACTGTTTAATTAAACCGTCTTTGCATTTTCAGTATGTTTTCACACTTATGGTAGCAGTTTAAAATATATTTACGTTTTTCAAAGTCTAGTTTAAAATCAGCTATTATTTTAAATGGATTGCACCTAGAAAAGAAAAAATGAATTAGAAGGAATAAAGTATTAAAGTGCGTGTACGTTTTTCTGGGACACCCTGTATTAAATGTTATCTTTTTTTAATTTTGATAAGTGCTGACTGAGGGTCGTCCCTTGAGTGTAATTAGTCAGTATAGGAATATTTACACACAAAGATTACACGTCTTACAGTTGAAACATATGACGGTAATGTTATTCAGAATGACAAGAAGCTAGATGTCACAGATGCTGTGATTTGCATACAATTGGACACGGCGATGCATTTCGAGGTTTCTGAGAGAGATTATGGGATGAGAAATTCTAAGACAATTCGGGATGTCGAGGAAGAATATGTGACATTTATTTGCTGATATATTTGCAGAGATTTGTGGTCGTTTTTGGAATTTTTGTGGCACCTAATGACACAAAATACAGAGAAAAAGTGCACGAGGATGTTGATTTTTCAATTTGCCAATGCATGTTGATGCAAGAAAGTCTAATGCAGAACATTTATATTAAAAAATATTCTGTGTATAAATAAAACATCAATATAGCGTTCCAAGAATACATAACCTAAAAAAGAATACTAACGTACTTATGATTTAAAAATATAATTCGCGTAAGCAAGTTTAGATACCTAAATCTGTCAAAATTCCATCTGATTATACAATTTTCCAGCACTTAGCAGTTATAGTAATTATAGCATGACCTATCGCGAAGCTATGATCTTAGATATTCGAGTACACTTCATGAAAATTCATGGAAACAGCACGTGGCGCCATCTGGATCTTACGGTTACCTCGAAATAATTTATGAACGGTGTACTTAAAAGCAAAAGACAATACATACTACATCTTAGCACGCAAAACGGAAATAAGGATTTTTTATGCGATGTTTGATAATGATTAGAATACCAAAGGTTATTGCATAAGTTTAATAAATTTAATTTAAAGAAGCCAATAACTTTTTATGTGGAAAATTACAGTAATCTTTTATTTCGAATAAAAGTTGTTCTTATTACGTAATTAATTAACGTACACTGTGTGCATTAATCTATACAATCTGCATACAAAGTCATAAATACAAAACGTTTGAAACAAGCTAATTATAAATAAGTTAATTAATAAGTTAATATGAATTTTATGCACTATTTTTACCAAAAATGTTTTTAAATTCGATAAACGGCGCTAATTTAATTTTAGATCCCAGTTTGACTCGAAACACAATAACCATTTTAAAAAAATCCTATTCTATAATCATTTCTTTGTTAATGGAATTCTCGTTATTTTTCCATAGAGTGAGCTCAGTGGTAAACAAACGTATTAATTATATGGAAAAATTTATTTTATTTAAAGAAGGCAAGATTTTATCGGAGCTTACGACAATGCGGAGAAAAAAATAGGTCAATATTTCCTATTGCAGGAATAAATTTCTTTACAGTTGCTCACGAGCCAGCGCCTTCCTTTCTCATAAAATGTAACTGAATTCTCGGAAGCGTTTCCCGAGCTTCGATTCAACGCCTCGTTTAATCCGAACGAATAAAAGCATACGTCGATGTGCATCGAAACAAGCTCACAATAGGTAGCGCCACCAGCGGGAAATTCATTTAAACGCTCCAAAGATACATTTAATCATGATTGGTGCATCGCCTACACGCGTCGATTGCACGTGCCTCGAATGGCTCCGCCACGAACGACAAAGAAATATAGATGCGTCAATGTTAATTGCGCGGGCTTTTTAAATCGTTTAGCTAAAGCGCTCGTCATTAGGGGTTCAAAGAAAGAATTTTTAATTGACTTGTTATTCCGTTCGTGTGTTAAAGGCAAATACAGGATATATTCTTGCAAAGGAGGGAAATATATAAATGGAGATTTTTATTTGACGTAGGTATTTTCTGTTTTAAATCTTTGTTTTGACTCTCAAAGAATGCACCTCGTTTTTATTTAATATTTACGTTATATTTATCTACGAAAAGTATCGCGGTACATTTTTATAATTTATTTTTCTTTCCCATGTTATTAACAAACAAGTAATATCAGTATGAAGAAAATATTGAAAAAGAAAAAGGAAATATTTTTATGATGTTTCATAACACATTCTAAATATTATTCTGCTTACAATATTTATAATATTCTTATAATATTCGTTTCCAAATTTGTTATTAATTTACAATGAATATTATTTCTCTGTACTATTTATTGCCTGCTAAAAATAAAAATTAGGAAATTTGCTTTTAGTTTCTTCTTAATAAAATAATTCCTATTCTTGTCTTGAAAAATAAAATAACAAACACTGAATAGAAAGAACTTTAAGTTATAAATAATTACTAGAGTTCGATTTTTATAATGGCATATTTTCAAATTTAACAATCTATTTTTGTTTTTAATTGCTTTCAGTTTCATTAATATTGATTAGCAAACAAAACCAAGCAGCAATATTTTATAGGTTATATTCAGTAACTATTAATTCAAGATACGAATACAATAATGTCATTCAATCTTTGTTGTTTGTG